CAATAAGCTTAAATTATAAAACCTTTTCCAATCATGTAAAAAGTTTTCATTAAGTTTAATAAAGATAAAAGCATGGTTTCACCTTTAACATTAAAAAAAAAAAAAAAATTATATTATATCAGTATATAATAACTTTATAATTTTAAAATTTAAAAAAAGAATATTTTATTTTGAAATTTTAATTAAAATTTTCAAAATTAAGCATTGTTTTCTTAAATTTTAAAATTATATAGTATACATATACTATTATTTTTTTTTCATAGTAAATATAGATCATATAACAGGTGTCATATGCCAATTAGACTCAAATAAACTCACGCGATCTACTTGTTATTTGCTAAATTTCCATATCAGGATATTAAAAATTCTTACACAACCTTCAATTCTTTTAAGCATTAAACTACTAGTTTTTTGGGTTCCGATATTACTCAAGCTTTTGTTCTTTTAAAATTCTATTTAATAGAGCATGACATTTCTAAACTTTTAGTTCTTTTAAATTCTATTCGGTGTGAAGCTATAGTAATAAACCTTCGAGTTCTTTAAAATTGTTTTGGGAACGATATTTCAAGATCTCAGTTCTTATGATTTTATTGAATGGGTACGATATTTCTAGATCTTTGGTTTCTTTTAAAATTCTATTGAGCATAAGTTGTTTTGAACAAGGCATGATATTACTATGTTTTTGGTTCTTTTAAAGTTCTATTGAATGGGATATGACTTTACTAAATAATTAGACTATGATATATATTTTTTTTTTTTTAAGCATTCTGAGTTTTATTATTTAATGTAATTTGTGCATATTCAACTAATGACTATTTATTATTTTCTAGATTAATTAAAAGTTACAGAATCAGCAGTAATTGTATAATAGTTATTAATAATTGTTGTTTTTCTCTTTAATCTTTTAACGCCATCTAATGTTAGATTTTTAATTAATGCATTAGAATGTAAAGGTAAATTTGGATGTGTGAAATCCTTAAAAGGAACACAAAAATTATTTGAAAATGATGATAATTGTGGTTCTAGTGTTGATTCGCGTGATGATGCAGACGATGCTGATTCTTGAGACAATAATGCTGATTCTTGAGATGATAATGCCACTGATTCTTGAGATAATAGTGCCAATTTTTGAGATGATGATGCTGTTTTTTAAGATAAGTGTGATTTTTCAGAATCTTCCTATAAATTGTTAACTATTTAGTAAATGAATACTAATATTATTATTTAATATTAATTAACTTACTCTATTTGATGGTAATTTGCCAGCAGTTCCAATCAGAAAAGCCAAAGCTTCCTCTTTTTGTTTATCTGAAGGCCTTGAATAAATTCTAAAAGAGAATTCACTTTTATGTCCCATAAGTACCATAGAAGTAATAATTGGTATACCAGCTTGGTAAAGAGAAGTAATTGGAGTTGTATGGCCAGAATGGTTAACTATATCCCAACCTTGTATGTTAATACCTGCTGCATTACAAATACTTTTTATCAGATTACTGCAGGTTTTGATTCTAAGCTTTGAATCAAGATACCATTTACTTCGAATTATAGCTATATTTTAAATATTTATTTATTTAGTTTACCATTTAATTAAAGAATTATTTTTTGTTTTTTAATTTAAATAAAATAAAAATTTTACCTTTTAAATATTTATTTATTTTTAAATGTAAAAATTCACAAGTATAGTTAGAAGGGCGATGGTCAATATATAGCTTTAAATCATAAACGGAACCAAGTAATTCTTTAGGGTTAGGCGGTACTGGTATAACTAATAAATCCAAGTTACCACCAACCCTGCCCTAGTCATTTTTTTGTGAGAATTTTGTAAATTGTAAGCCACCATTTTGTGTGAAAACAAACTGTGATACACGCATTTCACCATGTTTACCACTACGAGGAGCAAATAATAAACAACATCACATGAATACACAGTATTGTAAGCCTTGAGGATGAAAGATAAATATTGCATCATTATTAAATATCATCTGAACTTTTGTATTAGTTAATGGATCATGATATCACACAACTTTTCTCACTTTTTTAAGTTGTTTCATTTTACTATCCAAAGTTTTCCATAAATCTCTAAAGTCTTGTTTGCTGGCCAAATTATATTTATTAGTATTTAATAGATAATCTAAGAGATACATCGTGAGACAATTAATAGCATTGCATAATGAAGATGGTGCATATTCTTCTCCACTTTTTAATTGACGTACACCATATACAAACTTGATTATTTCTTGCTCAAGCTGCTGCTTATTTTGAATAGTTTCAATTTTATATTCGTAACCAATATTCTCATGCCAGTTACTTAGTACACGAACCCAATTATCAATTGTTTTTTTTGTATTTTCTGGAATCGTAGAGTTTTTTATGTGTTGTATTTCTTCTTTAGAAGGTTTAAAGTTTTTGGTGTTGGTTTTAAGTATTTTTTGCTATGAAAAAAAAGATATATATTAAAGTTTTTTTTCTATTTCTTTTTTTTTTTATTCTATCTTTTTAAATTCTTACTTTAGATATTTTTTTATAGCAATATAAGGTGAGCGATATAAGGAAAATAATGCAAAAAATAAAGAATCGCAAAACCAAACAATGTATAAACCTTGAAAATAGGAATTTAACCCAGAAACTGACAGTATAGAAGCTATTACTATTTGATGCAATAATTGCAAAATAACTGAAGGATTTATTAAAAAAGTAGTAATATATAGCCAAAGATACAACTTATCTGAACCAACTTCATTTAAAGAAATCAAGAGAAAAGATGATAAAGGAAGATGGCATGTATATAAAATCCATGAAGAAGAAACTATACCACTACCCAATGTAAAAATTGTCCAACAATGCAACGAGTATAAGGAAACTTTGAAAAACCTATTAAAATGAAAAGACTCTATCGAATCACGAAGGAACAAAATATCTCAAATATTTATTGAAAAACCAAAAGAAAAAACACCAGAAAACTCTATCCAAATATTTAATAAAATATCTGAAGAACCAATGGATATGAGGAATAGTAATAATAATTTTATTTCACCACTATCCTCATTAATCTACCCACTAGGATACAATTATGAAGAAGAAGAATATAGAAGCCAAAATTTAAATTTACCACCAAATATTCAAAAATAGTACAATTTAGAAAAAGAAATAGGCTGTTATGAACAAGATACTGTTGCAAACGAATCCTTTAATATACTAGTATATGAAGAAAGATACTTTTTACCAGAAGAAACAAATAAAGAAGTAGATAATACTTCTGAAAGTTCTGAAAACCCCTTATTAAAGGAATATAGGAATACTATTTCAGACCTATCAGAATTACAAGATAAATTTAACGAAATTGAAGCAATAGTATGAAAATTAGCATTACTCTTAGCAAGACAATCACTGTTATCAACAATTTTGAATCAACAAAGAATTCAACGAAATAGTATTCAAATTCAAGAAAGTTGTGAAGAGATTAAACTGTTACAAAAAGAAAATAACCAACTCAAATGAGAAAATATAGCATTAAAAAGAAAAATTGTAGATCTTGAAGAAATTATGATGACTGAGCAAGCATTAAAATTTATACGCTGTAATCAAGACTATAAAATTGCAACACTTTCAAGATTCAATGCATTCTACAACCTACAACTTCAACACCCTGGATTTG